TCTGCCACTAACCCCCCCCTGCTCCCTCTCCAGCTGCCCCATCCTCTCCCGGACTGCATCTGCCGAGTTGCACAGGCTGCATGGTGGCACGCCAGGGATGCTGCCATCCCTGCATCTCTCTGGCCCTGTCGACCACTAAACCCTCCGGCTCCCCCCTCCCCACTGCAATCTCGCAGCTGCCCCACCCCTTGTTGGACCACATCTGCCAGGTGGACACACCGGGAGGGCTGGCAGGGGAGAGCACCAGAATTTCTGGCAATCTCTGTATTCCTGGATTTTACCTCCCAGCCCCCCTCTCCAGCTGCCCCACCCCCTGCTGGACCACATCTGCCTGGTGGACACCCCGGGAGGGCTGGCCCCCTCTGCACCACTGAAACCCCGTCTCACTGCCTGTTCCCTCTCCCTCCCCCAGCTCCCCCACCCCCTGCGGGATCACATCTGCCTGGCGGACACACCGGGGGTGCTGGCTTTTGCTGCAACACTGGACCTCTGTATCCCTGCCTGCCTTCCCCCCCTGCTCCCTCGCCCCCCCCTCTCCAGCTGCCCCACCCTCTGCTGGACCACATCTGCCTGGTGGACACCCCGGGGGTGCTGGCAGGGGAGAAGCAGAGGACCCAGCGCAGCTACGACTTCACAGGGGTCACCGAGGTGAGGGAGAGGAGCAATATCTGGGTTTCTTGGAGATTAGAGGTTTCGTATGGATTGTTATGTGTAATGATATGGATTGAAGCAGAGGACCCATGTGAACCTGCTATTGTGATCCTTCTCTCATGAACCCATGCAATCAGCGCCTGTTATGGCGTCCCCTTCCCTTCTCTATTTTTCCTCTTCTTATTCCTCCTTTTCCTCTTCTTCTTCCTCTACCTCCAATTTCCCCTTCCTCTTCCCCTGCCTCCAGTGGTTCGCCAGCCAGTGCAATCCCATCCTGCTGCTCTTCGACCAGCACAAGCTGGACGTGAGCGACCAGGACTGCCCCCACACTTTACTCCAATGCGCCTCCAATGCGCCTCCAATGCGCCTCTCCCCTCCCTCTGCCCCCTCCCAGTGGTTCGCCAGCAAGTGCGACCTCATTCTGCTGCTCTTCGACCCGCACAAGCTGGACGTGAGCGACGAGTTCAAGCGCGTGATCACGTCGCTGCATGGGAATGCTGACAAGATCCGGCTGGTCCTGAACAAGGCGGACCAGGTCAACACACAGCAGGTGAGTAAAGGAATCTAGTATTCTACTGTGTGCGCATGAGTGGTTGAGCTCAAAGTCGGGTTCAAACGAGTGGCAACGCGGACAAGATCAGGCTGGTGTTGAACCCACACGGAAGAACCAACTCACAAGAAGGAGGGTGTGGGCGGTACGCTCATCTGCTCTTGCCCCTCCCTCTATCCTCTCCCCACCCCCTGCAACTCATGCGCGTGTACGGTGCGCTCGTGCGCTCATGTGCTCGCTGGGCAATGTCATTAACGCGCCTCACGCGCTCTTGCCCCTCCCTACCTCCTCTCCCCACCCCCTACAGCTCATGCGTGTGTACGGTGCGCTCATGTGGTCGCTGCGAAGGGTAATGAACAAGCCTCATGTGCTCGCACCCCTCCCCTTCGCCCCTCCCCACACCCGGCAGCTCATGCGTGTGTACGGTGCGCTCATGTGGTCGCTGGGGAAAGTGATCAACACACCTGAGGTCATGCGCGTGTACATAGGGTGAGTGACTATGGACTTCGCTTTAAAGGGGGTGAGTGGTAATAACGGTGGTTCTTGACATGCAGAGTGATGGTATGCTCATCTGCTCTTGCTCTTCGCCTAACCCTTCTCATCTCCTCAACCCCCTCCCTCTCCGCATCCTCATCATCACCAATCTGTCATCGCCAAGCTGTCATCGCCAATCTGTCATCGCCAATCTGTCATCGCCAAGCTGTCATCGCCAAGCTGTCATCGCCAATCCTGTCATCGCCAACTGGTCTGCATCTCCCTCCTCTCCTCACCTTCCTCTCCTCACCTTCCTCTCCTCACCTTCCTCTCCTCACCTTCCTCTCCTCACCTTCCTCTCCTCACCTTCCTCTCCTCACCTTCCTCTCCTCACCCCCATCAGATCCTTCTCCGACACAGCTCCTGCCAAGAAGCTTCCTGCCAAGAAGCTCCATGCCAAGAAGCTTCCTGCAAAGAAACCCCGCAAGCAGGCCCTCCAGCTGCGGTCAGCAGCGCAGCAGGCGAACGGAGCAGAGGCCAAGCCCCGCGAGGAGAAAGCGGTGTGCAAGGCAGGCGAGGGAGCGAGTGTGGAGGAGGCGGGACGAACTGGAGGGAGTGAGAAGGAGGCGAAGAATGAGTGTGCGGCAGTAGTAGAGGAGAGCGGTGCGGAGGCGAGCACGAAGGGTGCAGGTCTGGAGAAGGAAATTGTGGAGGGAGGAGTGGAGGGAGGAGAGGAGGGAGGAGAGGGGCGCAGTGGAGGGGAATTGGAGGAGAGCAAGGGCAAGGAGAACATGCCACCAACGAGCGATGGGGGTGCCACGGCTAAAGGGAGAGGAGTGGGGAAGGGTGCGGATGGCGCAGAGAAGGAAGAGGATGAGAGTGATGATGAGGAGGAGCAGCCAGAGACGGAGGGCGACGATGATGCAGAGGGGCGGCTGGGGCGCGCGCTGTTTGAGCGAGAGATGAACGACCTGCTGTCGGACCTGGGGGACCTGCCCAGGAAGAGCTGCGACAGAAAGGTGAGGAGGGGGGGGATGAGGGAGGGTGAGAGTGTTGGGCGGTGTGCAGTTTGAGCGAGAGATAGGCACCGCTGTTTGATCTAGGGGACCTGCCCAGGAAGAGCTGCGACACAATTGTGAGAAGGGTTTGGTGGAACGGGGGGAGGGAGGAAAGGGGAATGTGGGGGGTGTTGGCCCGATGACTCGTCGTCTTGTCTGACCTAGGGGACCTGTCACCTGCCACCTGTCACCTGCCACCTGTCACATGCCACCTGTCACCTGCCACCTGTCACCTGCCACCTGTCACCTGCCACCTGTCACCTGCCACCTGTCACCTGCCACCTGTCACCTGCCACCTGTCACGTGCCGCCTGTCACCTGCCCATGAAGAGAGCTGTGGCAGGAAGGTGAGGAGGTGGTGGGTGGGGGGTGAATGCCTCCATTCTCTCCCACCTCCGCTCATCACTCTCGCTGCATCTCTGCATTTCCCCATTCTCCCGTCCCTCGCTCAGATCAACGAGTTCGTGAAGCGCGCGAGGGCAGCGAGGGTGAATGCGTTCATCCTCTCGCACCTGCGCTCGCAGCTGCCCCTGTTTGGCCGCGCCAAGGCGCAGCAGAAGCTCATTGACAACCTGCCCCAGGAGTTCGAGAAGGTGAGGAGGGATGGGACGAGTGGGGAGGAGTTTGCCATGTTGGTCACGCCAAGGCAGCAGAATCTCATTGACAACCTTACTCAGGAGTTGGAGAAGGTGAGGAGGGGTGGGACGAGTGGGGAGGGAGTTTGCCATGTTGGTCACGCCAAGGCACAGCAGAAACTCATTGACAACCTGCCCCAGGAGTTGGAGAAGGTGAGGAGGGGTGGGGCAAGGCAGGGTGAAACGAGGGACGGTATGGTGAATGGCGGAACGCGTGGTGGGGGAAACAACTAGTGGGAAACGCGGTGAAGGTGTGGCTGAGGCATAGTAGGAGTAGGATGGAGAGTGAGGAGAGAACAAAGTGATGGGGCTGCTGATCATGGGCAAAAGAAGGTATTTGATCCTTTCCTGCACAATGGAACAGCGAGGGTTGCAGAGCAGAAGTTGTAATGAGTGAATCCCCAGTTTTTGTAGAAGTCTCAAAAATGAATCCCCAACAAGAACGGAAGACTATGAGAGGGTGTTATCATCAGCTGCGTCCACTGTGGCCGACCGAAAATGCCTCCCTCTCCCCTTGTCTCCAATGTATCCCTCACATTGCTGCCTCGATGCCTCCACCCGCCCAACAGCGCTCTTGAGAAACTTTTGGCAGGGGGAGATTTGCCCCTGCAGATCCACTCCGCCTTCCACCTCTCCCCTTGACCACAGCTTATTTTCCCACCACTCGCCTCCAGCCATTTCTTACCCCACAGTTGACCTGGGCGCACCGCCTGGCAAAGGGAGATCTGCCCCCAGTGGTTCCCATCCAGTGCACGCTGGCTGGCTGTGCCTTTGAGAGCTTTTGAGCATTACAATGCCCCCTTCCTACCACTCCTTCCCTCCATCCCACCAGGTGGCTCAAGAGCACTGCCCAGCAGAAGGCGACCTCCCACCAGTGGAACGGTCCAGTGCCCTCTGGAAGTGGTGTGCGTGTTATAGCTTTCACCGTCTCAATGCGTCTTCCCACCACTGTTCTCCCCCATTCCTATCCGATTTCTCCCCCTTGCTCCTCTTCCACCAGGTGGCCCGAGAACACCGCCTCGCAGAAGGCGACCTCCCCCCAGTGGCTCTCTTCCAGCGTGCGCTGGCCGGGTGTGCGTTTGAGAGCTTTGAGCGGCTCAACGTGAAGCTGGTGGAAGAGGTGGATAGAATGCTCGCTTATGATATTCCGCATCTGCTGAATACGTTTAGGAACCCTTATATGTAAAATTCCATAGATGGTTTCTTTTGCAATAAAGTTTATACTATATATGGCATGATTTTTAGAACCTCAAGATTGTTTCATCGGATACATTTTGAAGGTTTTTTCTAATGCCTGACATATGCAATTATAACACTAATTGTAGGTGGCAAAATGTTTAAAGTTAATAACGACATGGTAGAAATCAAGGGACCGTCTTGTGCATTGTACCTCCGAGAATCCCAGATCCTTCTGACGGAGATTGCTTTGACGGAGCCCCTCCTGACGGAATCCGTGTCGGGTGCGGGTCAGGTCGGATAGTCCGCGTGCTGCACGTTCAGGTGTTGCCTGGGCAGTCCGCCTCCTTGTCCCAGATAGGCCCGACACACCCAACAGACCCGAACTGAAACTGGTTGTGCAGCCCGCAGGAATACAGTGCAAGGCAAGGGACTCCCGAAAGACCAAACCGCGCGGGGCACGGCATTGCCGGCGCATTCTTCTACTGTATAGGAGACAAGGACTCCGCGCACGCGGAAATCCCTGCCGGATGTATTGGCGCAGCGGGTCGGAGGACAGGGGTGAGGAGAGGAGTTGGGGTTGGGCTGCTAGCCACCTTCCGCGCTGCTCCGTTAACCTCGAATCATTGCCGTCCGCCAGCTCGGAAACGGGGAAGGGCGGCGGGTTCAGTTTTGGGGGGAGCGGGGGGCGGGGGAGTGGGCTAGAGTTACAACGAGCCTTTCGCGCTCCTTTGTTGTCCACCTCCGACGATTGCCGTCCGCCAGCTCGTAAACGGGAAAGGGCGGTTGTTTCGGGGGGAGAGGGGAAGGGTGTACTACCGCGCTGCTCCGCTGTCGACCTCCGATAATTGCTGTCCGCCAGCTCGGAAACGCGCGGCCGTCTGCCAGACGCGAGTCCCCTCCCCGCGCCTACCCAGCGCGCGCGGCCCCGCCAGTTCATCGCGCCATCAGCGCGCAGAGTCATGGAGCACTATTTAACCTCCCAAATCGCCTCCTCGCTCATATGCCCAGCCCGCTCACACCGTAACCGTAGCTCGCTCGCCGCTCAAGTGACTCCGAGTCCGACTCACTACACGCCCCCGCCACGGCCTTCGTTCCGCGCCTTTACCCATCTCGGCCCGAGCCCACTACGTGACCCTGCCTAACCTCTCGGGGCAATCCTCCTCTCACCGGCCGTGTCGTCAAGACAAGTTGATATTTCTTCACGGAAAGCCTCCCGGCCGCGCCATGACTCGCTCGCTGCTCTCCGCGGTCGCCCTCGTGGCCGCCGGCCTTCTCGTCCTGCTCGGTACGTCCCGCGCTCCCTCGTCACGTGCCGTGCTCGCTGGTTTCCGCTCGGCTCCCCGTCGCGCCCTGCGACATTCTGCTCTGATGCCCCCGCCGCACGCCACGCTCTCTTCAATCCAGTGTTTTTTGTTCTTCCGCTGCTCTCGCTGCTCTTCTCGTTCCTTGTGGTGTTCCTCGCTTCCCGTCACTTCATTCCGCTTCAATCCGCTCGTCCTCGCCTCCTCATCGTGTCATCCTCCCTCCTCCCCCTCACCCGTGTGTTCTCTCTCCTCCCCTTCTGCTCCATTCTACCCTTGCCCACTCTCTTCGCCTCGTGTCCTCTCTACCGCTCCCCAGCCGCAGCCCAGTCAGAGGTACGGCGCCTTGCGTCTTTTCTCTCCTGCTCCCGCCTTCACTGCTCTCCTCATTCCTCGTGTACTGCCTTGCTGTTCCGCAATTGCGCCTTGCTGTTCCTTGATTGCACCTGTCGTTTCGCAATTGCGCCTGTTGGGGGGCGCCAAGGGGTGGGTGGGCGTACAGGCGTTGCTCCTTCAACTCAGCCTAACGAATCTTCCAACACCCACTGCGTTCATTGGAATGTCCTCTGCCAACGCTTTCAGGCCGCCAACATCGCCGTGGGGGGCACCAAGGGGTGGACGTACGGCCTGAACACGTGGAAGCCGAATACGCCAGTGCGTGCTGGGGACGTTCTCGGTGCGTGGCGTGGCTCACTCACTGACCCACCACCGCGCATGCCTCGTGCCTCGTGCCTCTTGCCTTGGGTCTTGGGTCTTACCATGCGGCATTCCTCATGCAGATGTTTCCTGTGTCATTGCACGCACAATCCATACATGCCACGTGCCCCACGTATTCCTAATCGCCCAAACCTTCCATACCTCCGATGCGTCTCTTATGCACACGTGGCAGTGTTCAATTGGAAGGGCGGCCATGACGTGTGGCTCATGAAGGACGCCCCCGCGTACAAGGCGTGCAACTTTGGCACGGCTAAGAGGAAGGCGCCCATGACCTTTGGCGGCAAGTACAGGTGAGCAGCAGGCATCTGCTGTGGACAAAAAATCTCATGTGCGTGTGCGATTCATTTGCGTGCGACAATGGCGAATCTCACTGCATGGGAGATGAGCTTTTGCCGCCGCCGCCGCCGCTGCTGCTGCTGCTGCTGGTGCTGGTGCTGCTGCTGCTGCTGCTCCTGAGTAGGGAAAGGTGCTCTGTCTGCTACCGTGAGCTTCATACATGTCTCGCACACCTTCCTGTCTCGCGCGACTCATGTGGCGTCGTCTCCCTTTCAGATTCCCTGTGCCAGTTACGGCCAAGGGCAAGACTCTGTACTTTGGCTGTGGCGTGTACGGCCACTGCGCGGGCAACATGAAAGTGGCCATCCCCATCCAGAAGTGACCTCATCCCAGCTGATCTGAGCTGAAGCCGAGCCAAGCCGAGCTGAGCACAGCCGAGTCAAGCTGAGCTGAGCTACGTCTCTCTATGCATTCGTGTGCCACCTTATTTGTTTACTTGCTAGCCACTGAGTGTGTGCGCTTTCTGGTAGCATGCAATTGCACCAAACCAAAACCAAACCAAGCCTTTCAATTCAACCTGGCAGGCAGGCAGGCACTCACTCTGCAGGGACAGCTGGCCTTGGAGGAAAGAAAAAAGAGTTCTATGGTATCGTACTCTCACCAACCGGCCTGTCCCACATGTTGAACACTTGGGCAATGGGCAGCAGAGAAGAAGCAAGCAATACCTGTTGAGTGATACGCAGGGCTCCTGCTACCGTAATCCCCCGTATATAACACCCTCCTAAATAGTCATTCCATGGGTGGAGCTTTGTCAAAGGAGCTATAGTCAGGGCTCTCGCTAGGATTTGAGGCTGTCTGAACATCAGACTAAATTTTTGGCGCCCGTCTGACGATCATCTGAAATTTTCGGATGAGTCTGTCAAACATGTGTATCTCCTATGTTTGCATAGACTGTATAGGGCCACCTCTTAGAGGGTACAACACTTTGGTATATTCACCTGTACTCTCTCTTACTCATTATTCAGTTTTCATTCTAACATGGTATCACGCGTAGGTTAGGATCCCCCACCTACCGCTTCCGCCCATACCCTAGCTAGGCCCCGCCGCTTCCCCCTGGGCCCCGTCGCGCCTCCTAGCCCCGTCGCGCCCCTCCTGGGCCCTGCCGCTGTCAACTTATACATATTATCTATGTAGAAGTTATAGGCTAGACTGAGGTATGCTTCTAGTGAGTACAACCAACTAGTATTTGTTCTAGGTTTCCACCTCTAGTCATTATTCGTTCTCACTTTGACATGGTATCACGCGTAGGTTAGCATCCCCCACCTACCGCTTCCGCCCATACCCTAGCTAGGCCACGTCGCGCCTCCTAGCCCCGTCGCGCCTCCTAGCCACGTCGCCCCCCCCCCCCCCCTCCTGGGCCACGTCGCGCCACCCTAGCCCCGTCGCGCCACCCTAGCCCCGTCGCGCCCCTCCTGGGCCCCGTCGCGCCTCCTAGCCCCGTCGCGCCCCTCCTGGGCCCCGTCGCGCCACCCTAGCCCCGTCGCGCCACCCTAGCCCCGTCGCGCCCTGCCTGGCCCCGTCGCGCCCTGCCTGACCCCGTCGCGCCCGCTCGGCCCCGTCGCGCCCTGCCTGGCTCCGTCGCGCCCGCCTGGCCCCGTCGCGCCCTGCCTAGCCCCGTCGCGCCCTGCCTGGCCCCGTCGCGCCCGCTCGGCCCCGTCGCGCCCCGCCTGGCCCCGTCGCGCCCGCCTGGCCCCGTCGCGCCCTGCCTAGCCCAGTCGCGCCCTGCCTGGCCCCGTCGCGCCCGCTTGGCCCCGTCGCGCCCTGCCTGGCTCCGTCGCGCCCGCCTGGCCCCGTCGCGCCCTGCCTAGCCACGTCGTGCCCTGCCTGGCCCCGTCACGCCTGCCTGGCCCCGTCGCGCCTGCCTGGCCCCGCCGCACCTGCCTGGCCCCGCCGCTTGGCCCCGTCGCGCCCTGCCTGGCTCCGTCGCGCCCGCCTGGCCCCGTCGCGCCCGCCTGGCCCCGTCGCGCCCTGCCTAGCCCCGTCGCGCCCTGCCTGGCCCCGTCACACCTGCCTGGCCCCGCCGCGCCTCCCTGGCCCTGCCGCGCCTGCCTGGCCCCGCCGCGCCTGCCTGGCCCCGTCGCGCCCTGCCTGGCCCCGTCGCGCCTGCCTGGCCCCGTCGCGCCTGCCTGGCCCCGCCGCACCTGCCTGGCCCTGCCGCGCCTTCCTGGCCCCCGCCGCGCCTCCCTGGCCCCGCCGCGCCTGCCTGGCCCCGCCGCGCCTCCCTGGCCCCGCCGCGCCTGCCTGGCCCCGCCGCGCCTGCCTGGCCCTGCCGCGCCTGCCTGGCCCCGCCGCGCCTGCCTGGCCCCGCCGCGCCTGCCTGGCCCCGCCGTGCCTTCCTGGCCTCGCCAGCACCTGCCTGGCCCCACCGCACCTGCCTGACCCCTTCGCCCCGGCTCGTCCTGCCGTGCCGCCTCGGGCTCCGTCTCCTCTGCTCGCCCGTGCTGAGGCGCTTCGCGGCCGCCGTGCTGGAGGGGGCTGTCGCTGTGTTCCTGTGGAGCTGTGCCGCTGACCCTGCACGATGGCGGACTTCGTGCTCCGACTGGACGCCGAGGGCCATGCGGTTGACTTCGCCGCCTGGCTCTCCGATCTCCGCCGCCACCTTACAGGTCAGCGCCAGGATGGCCACTCTTTGGTTGTCCATGTCGACGGCTTGCTCCCCCGTCCCCCCGCACCTGCTGCCCTCCCTGCTGATCCCTCCTCTGATGACCGTGAGACCTTCTCTACTGCTGCGCTTGCCCGTGCGGTCTGGGACTCCCGCGATGCAGTCGCTCAGGTTGCCATTAGCCACGCCCTCCCTGTCTCTGAGCGCTCGCGTTTTGCTACTATTGAGACGGCCAAAGCTTACTTAGACGCTGTTATTGCCCGCTATTCCACACCCGCGTCTGCTTCAGCTGGTCGCCTGCTCTTCCCTATGCTTTTCCCAGACCTTGCAGCTTTCCCTACCGTCGCAGACTTTGCCACTCACCTGCGTGCCCTAGAGACCCGCTATCGCACTGCCAGCACTGCTGCCCAGCTCACTGCGCTCCCCCCCCCTTTCTGCATGACGCTCTATTTTATCGCCATGCGCCTGCCAGACCGCCTCGCTAGTGCTCGCGATCACTTTCTTAGCCAGCACCCGGGTGACCTCACTCTCACTGCCTTTGTCGACACCCTCACCGAGATCGAGACTCGCCAGCGCACTATCGCTCAGTCGAGCGGTGCGCCGGCAGTTTCTATCTTTCACGGTTGTGCCCCCTCCCAATGTGCGTTCACTGACGTTTCGGCTGCGGTCGCCTCGGCGGCCCCTCTCACCGAGTCGGCTGGTGCGGTCCACCCGCAGCAGCGCTCGCGCCGCGGTGGCCGTGGTCGCCAGGGGGGTAGGGGTGGTGGTTGCAGTAGTGGTGGTGACGGTAATCCGCCTGCGGGGACTACCACTGGTGGGCAGGAGCAGCAGCCCCAGCCGCAGCCGCCGCCCCAGCAGCAGTTACCGTCCCAGCAGCAGTCGCCGCAGCAGTGGGCCCGTCTCCCGCCTGGTTGGCCCGGCACCTCTGGAGGTAGTGGCCGTGGTGGCGGTCCGCGCAGCTTGGCGTCTACCGGCGGCTCCGGTGCTGTCACCTGCCAGTACCAGCTTCAGACCGGGCCTCTTCGCGGCACTCTGTGCCGCCGCCCGCACCCGACCGCCCGCTGTTTCCGCCGCCTCGACGATCTCTTTCGTCGTCGCTTTGGCCCGACCCCGGACCTCCCCGACTGGCACAGCCTGCTCCGCCAGTGCGTGCCGATCTTTGAGTTAGACATGGATCAGCTAGGTGCTGCTTTGCATGCTTTGTATTCTGACACTTCTAGTTTTGCTGGATCTTATTACCCTGTGTACTCTAGTTTAGGTGTTGCACCACTGTGTAGCTTAGCCTCCCCTGCTGCGTCAGGCGTAGGACTGCCTAGGTTGCCTAGTCTAGTCGCTGCACCGGCTCCGTCCCCGGCCTCCGCCACTGCGTCGCTGTCCTTCACTCTCGACTCCGGTGCTTCTGCCTGCTTCTTCCGCGACCGTTCCACGCTCACGCCGCTTGCTGCACCTGCTGTTGTCTCTCTCGCTGACCCCTCTGCGGGTCCGGTCGTCGCGCGCAGTTCTACGTCCCTTCCCTGTCCGGCAGTTCCCTCAGGCTCCCTTACTGGCCTCCACGTTCCCTCGTTCTCCAGGAACCTGGTTGGTGTCGGCTGTCTCCAGGACCTCGGCGTCACCACCACGTTCCCCGGGCACGAGCGGTTCGCTGTCTGTTCTGAGGCTGTCTCAGGTTCCCCCCTTGCGACGTTCCCCCGGGACCCGGTGTCCGGTCTGTTTACCCTAGACACCGCTTCCCCCCCGGTTGGTGCGTCCTCCCAGGTCGCTGCAGCTTGCTCGTGTCGGTCCCTCGCTCACCCCTCCCTTCTCTGGCACCACCGCTTAGGTCACCCTGCTCTCCCGCGTCTGCGTCACATGTCCCAGCACGGTCTTGTCTTAGGTCTCCCTGCGTCGCTCCCTGCCCTTCCTCCCTCGACTGCGCCACCGTGCACGCCTTGCGTCGAGGGTCGGCTTCGCCGTGCTCCTCACTCCTCCTCGCTGCGTCCTGCTACTGCCCCCCTTCAGACCCTGCACTTGGACGTTTGGGGCCCTGCCCCCGTCCCCGGACCGCGCGGTGAGCGCTACTTCCTTGTGCTCGTCGACGACTACACGCGCTACACCACGGTGTTTCCCCTGGAGCGGAAGGCCGACGTGCCCGACGTTCTCCTCCCGTGGGTTGTGGCTGCGCGTCTCCACCGCGGTCTCCCCGTGTTGTGTCTCCACTCCGACCGTGGCGGCGAGTTCGCCTCTGGTCGGCTTGGACAGTTCTGTCGTGCGGAGGGCATCACCCAGTCGTACACCTTGCCGGACTCGCCACAGCAGAATGGGGTTGCTGAGCGCCGCATCGGCTTGGTCATGGAGGTCGCCCGTACCTCCATGATCCATGCCGATGCCCCCCATTTTTTGTGGCCGTTCGCTGTTCGCTACGCTGCTCACCAGCTTAACCTGTGGCCACGCTCCCAGCGGCCGCAGGTTTCGCCGACCCTCCTTTGGACCGGGTCCCCCGGTGACGCGTCTGCGTTCCACGTCTGGGGCTGCCTTGCTCACGTTCGTGCCTCTGGCACGGACAAGCTCACTGCCCGCACTGTCCCCTGTGTCTTCCTCGGTTTCCCCCCTGGACTCGTGTGACTGGCTTTTCTACCACCCGCCGTCTCACCGCTTCCTCCACTCTCGTGACGTCACCTTTGACGAGTCCGTCTCCTTCTACCGCCGCTTCCCTCACCGAGGTCTCCCAGTTGCCCCCCCCTTGTTCCTTGCTCCCTCTCCCCCGGTAGCCCCTGCCCCTCTCCCGCCTCGTCCTGCCCCGTCTGGTGTCTCCCACGTCACTCCCCTCCCGTCGGTTGTCCCCGTTGAGGAGTCTGCTGACTCTGGTGGTATCCCCAGTCCGTCCTTGCCGCGTCCCCCTTCCCCGGTGCCTCCGCCCCCACTGTCGCAGTCGCCGACCCCGCTGCCGCCGCCGTCGCCGTCGCTGCCGCAGCCGTCGCCGCTGTCGTCACCGCCGCAGCCGTCGCCGCCCGCCGCTGTCGCTGCCGCAGCCGTCGCCGCTGTCGCCGCCGCCGCAGCCGTTGCCGCCACTGCCGCCGCCGCTCTTGGCCCCTGGGGGTGCTGGTGTGGAGGAGGGTGTTCGTCCTGCGGCTTCTGGGGGTGCGCTGGTGT